CACGCCCAGGCGGACGGCGGGGCCACCCCAGGGCCGGGAGGCAGGCGAGGCCCGGCTCGCGGGGAGCACGCGCAGGTCCGCACAGACGGGACGTGTGGCCGCGGGGCAGTGGCCACAGAACAAACAGCGGGGGCCAGGACAGCGAGAGGCCCTGCACGCGGCTCTGTCTCCCCGGAGCCGCAGCGGGAAAAGGAGAGCACGAACAGCAAAGTAAAGCCCCGAATCCCAGCCTCAAGGATCCAAGCGAATCCACAATTGCTCGTTACATTTGTTTCAACGTGCTTCCAAGTGTGCCCATCACGCGGCACACGCGGCTCTCGTTGTTCAAGGGAAGCGAGGCATCTGGGCATGTCACCTGCATCAGTGCTGCTGAAACGTCAGAGGGCACCCCTAATTTCACTCCGTGGCCCCCATGGACCCCGGGGCCTGGGTGCCCTTAGCAGGGACGACTAGGTCCAGCGCCTGCAGGTCACAGATGTCCACTGTCCTCGCCCAGAACCCCTGCCTGAACTCTCCAGGGACAAACAACTACATAGCTTCTTCAAAGCCCCGGACACAGAGCCACCCCTGGGAAACACTGCGGAAGGAAGGAAGGAAGCCCCAGTCTCTGCGAGAGTCTCTGGTAGAACGGGACTTTACCAAGAATGCTTCGCACCACAATTTCTCCAGTTGATAAAATTTCCTAAGTTACAGGCTGAAATAATAGCAACTATAAATTCCTTAAAATATTTTCCACTTTACAGTTACAGAAAACTTTCTGGTACTGAAACACAAAATACTGCACTGTGCAGAGAACAAGCTAACAAATATAACTAAAATTTAATCTAGAAATATTTTTAACCTAGTAATTCTACTCCGAGGAATTTTAAAAAAGGCTTCAAACAAGTGTACAAAGATGAATACAATACTAGAATGTTCACCTAGTTTTGTTTTTAACAGTGGAAAACTGTAAACAACCGACTGTCCACACTCAAATCAATTATGTTGCACCAACAGCATCTTTTCAAAGTATCTCCAGCGCCTTTCCATGCTGGGATATCCAAACTCATGATTTCTTTTTAAGTGAAAAAGGCGTGTCACAGAACAGCACATAGACTGCATGACCTCGCTTTTCCTCAGCAAAACAAAACTCAAGTGAGGGTTTGACTATAGAGGACTTTCGTTTCCTAAGTTACTTACTTCTGTGTGGAAATTTTATAAGCAGATTGCTTATGTAGTAAAGAAAAATGTATTTTTAAACATATACTTTATGAAATGTTCAGAAATTATAAAGCTGAACTAAAACTGAGTTATTTAATCAAGAAGTTCACATGACAGTGAACTGTAAATTTACTCAATTGCATCTGGGGCTAAACTTCTCTCTAAAGTAGTTTACTTCCCAAAGACCACAAATGCAGTAAACACATTAATAAATTAACAAACGCATTAATAAAACAGAGACTACACACTGCACGGCGGACAGGGCAACCTCATAATAGCACTATTCATGTTTATTGGCAACACAAGCTCCATTTAATACGAAAATGTCAGTCGTGCCCGGCACAATACTGACATCTAGTGGCTCTTTCTGTCTCCGAATTCATTTAAATTACCAACAAAACCTACCAAACCCCTTCAATTTTCCCTGAAGAATTCTGACACAATACAGATTTCTACACAAAAAGGGTCTTCACAACATTAAGCAGGTGGCAGGTAGCGGAAAGCCCGCCCTCCCCCGCGCTTCCTGTCATCAACCAGGGAAGGTGTCCGTGCGCAGCTGGAGAGCACGAGTCACTAGGGCCACTCTCCCCTCCCAGTGAATGTCTAGTAAATAAAACAGGACTAAGAAACAGCCCTACTTTAACAACCTCATTTCAGTAGAAAACAAAATTTCAAAATAAGCACAACAAAAAACATATTTATCCTTGACAATTACAAAGACACCACACACCCGGGGAACTGTTTTGAACACATGCTGTGAGGACCATATTTTCTAAGCCTTCAAAATCTGCAAATACCAGATTTAATAAACCGTACACAGAGGCAAGCACAGTTTTAAACAGTCAGCCAAACACAAATAATTAAAAAAAATATATATATATACCTTTTTAGGAACTGCTCGTATTTCAAGGCACCAGGTGAAAAGGAAGCGGAGAGAACAGCCCTCGGGTACATGCTGGGGCAAGGCTGCTCCTTTTCAGGAAGACGGGAGAGAGTTCGTGACACAAAGTAAATTTCAATCCCTAAAAACACAAATAGCTAATATTTCACATTACTGTGCTGTCAAAGTATAGTATGACTTGTGACAAAGTTTAGTCAATCAAAAACATCTCCCCAAGAGGAAGACAGCAGAAAAACACACTTTACCAAAAAAATTACTATGAATTCAACAGAATGACTGTATTAGCCACACCCACCAAGTCTAGGTATAACAAACAAGAGGGAAATCACCCACAACCGGGGGACAAAACGCCCATCACCACTGCCCATTATCCTCATAAAGAATTTCAGACTGACTCAACTCCAGTTCAAAGGATTCTAAGCAGATAACTAAAAAATGACTTCCTTTAATTGTGGAAAAAATTATAATATGCTAACTTAGAAATAAAATAATACTAACTGCAAAAAACAAACAAATCGGCCCAACTAACCCAACCTGCTTCTCCAAAACTAGTCACATTCCTGTTTTCAAGTTTTCCCCAGTCTGCCACAAGCCTGTTAATTTCCAGAGCTTTGAAAAAGTTGATTCCTCAACTTCATTTTCAATGTTCGTAAGTGTCCAATAAGCATAACCTCTATTACCATCTCATTCAGCGTAACTGACCCAGTCAGGGTATCTGATGTGAAAGTTAAGAAACCACCCAGACCAGAGAGCGGTCTATTCCACCGCTGATCGTGGCCGACCCTCGGGTATCTGTGCAGACTTGTCCTCGTCACCTCCAACCCCTTAGCCCGATGACACCCTGAGAAGTAAGAGCAGGGCTGCACCTTTCTTCTTTGTGTCTGCCTTAATTTTCAAGAAGACACGGTGTTCTAGCCTGTCTGCGAGCTGCAGCCTTTGGACTAGGTCCTGTACCTCGGAGTCACTGTTGGGACAGATCACGTTGAAGGCATCTCCAGGCTGATAGGAAAAATTTGTTTTCTAGAGAAGAACCAACATGAAAGAAAAAAATTCCATATAAGTGAGTTTTAGTTCCAGGGTAACAAAACCAGAGTTTTCATTTTACGACCCTTTGAATACATGAATTAGAAACAAAATAATTCTAATTGCAAAAAACAAGCCCAACTAACTGAATAAATATATTTTTAGTGGAAGTTACTTTTAACAAGAAATTCTATAGTTATCCAATGTTTTGCTTTATATCATTGAGTATTCAGACTGGAAATAAAGACTTTCCGCATCTTCTAGAGAGTAAGTTGCTCCAATAAACAGTGTTTCAATGATCCATGTAAAAATTCCTCTGATGAAAACACACACACAGAAACACACACATTACGCGCTAAAGCTACTACCTTTAGGGCCACCTGCGTTGGCTTCCAATCTCCTCTCTTTACTCCTTTCCTTTGGGGAGGAACTGGGGTGGGAGAGAACACTTTTTTCCCCTTAGTGACACACATTAAACCATCTGGCACCGTACTGGCGGGGAACACACTCGGGCTCCAGAAGGACCCCCTCCCCACAGCACGTCTACTCAGAGGGTGAGGAATGCTCCGAGAGGGCCTCTGACCACGTGTGCCCACAGCCCTAGCTTGTGAAGGACACACACCGGCCCCGCCCATTAGCCAACCCTTGCCTCCTCATGACAGAAAGTGTAAAACAAAAGTAAAATGTTTTGAGGTACATAGGATATTTAACACTATAGGTTATTAAAATGTTCAAATGAAACGTGGAACTACTCAATAGTATGTAAGCAAAACATCTAGCTTCGACACCTGTCATTTTTTTTCTATTAGAAATTCAACTAACTCTAAAGAGACAGCCTCGACGTGCCGTCTTCTGAAAGCCCAGCCCCCTTCGCAGGCCCCCGTGAAGGTAAAGGTGGAGCTACATGACTCCCAGCAGGTCCGGAGGCACTGAAGGTTCTGGATCAGCAGCCACATTTCCTAACCTGCGGCCCCTGGACGTGGGCAGGGGCCAGGAAAGCTCATGGATGGGTTCAGAGGCAGCACATAAACCCCCTGAAACTGTGCAACACGTTTATAGACAATCACTTTTCTGGAGAGGGCGTCCACAATTTCTTCCAGATTCTCAAAGGAACAAGGACCTCCACTCTGAGAAATGAACGTCACACTCCTGTCTAGCCTGGTCAACTGCCGCTGACCCCAGGTAACCAGCTTCCTGTCCCGGGGCTCTTTCACAGAAAACGCTGCTCTGATTCCTTTATTCTCAATAATTAAGGCAGCAACACTACTCTCTCCAGCTGAACCCTCTCCGGTCACTCCTTGCTTTAGCCCCTCCTTGAAGTGAAAAGAAAGCGGGTATGAGGTGGAGAGGAAAATGATGGGTGAAGAATAAAAAGGCTGATGTCCCACCAGAGACCTCACCCTTCCTGAGTGTGTGGTCCAGAACACATCATGCAAGTCCCTGCCCTCCTTGACAGCACACCTGTGCTCAGGAATAAATTCTGTAACTTACTGAAATGTCCAGTTCTACCAGAAGAGTGGTTTTTATGGCATCTTTTGTAGTCAGCTGAACTGCCTTTGAAATTGGAACGTGAAAAACTGGATCCACTGAAGTCACAGAAGTTTGGCTTTCCTCCTTGAGAAACGAATGTGATAAAATATTACTAAATGCAATTTTCAATTACACTTACCATTGCTTCACTAAGTGATGAGGTAAGAGCTACCACATCTCTGGAAATGCCCTGGCTATTTAAGTGTTCTTTTCTAAGGTAAACGGCTACAGACATATTCTGCTCAGTCTTTCAGAAGAGAAGCTCATCCATTTCCCAGCCTCCCTGGTTATTAGACTTTGCTTGGAATTTCTGAGATACATGGGAAACGTCAGATACTAGTATTTTCACAAAAAGGTCCAATAGTCTTCCTAACAAACTTATGCAAAAAGAAACAGTACACTTGCACACTTCAGAGATTCTAAAGGAAATGACAAGATGTTTATTAAGGTTGGCAGCTATCTATACAGATGGTCACAAGAACCCTCAGAGTGGTGGGCAGTGCTGTTCAACAGAGCTTCCTCGATGACTGGATGTTCCACGGCTTCACTGGCCCCATACAGGAGCCACAAGCCACGTGTGCCCACCGAGTACTGGAAATACGGCTAAGAAGTGTGACTCAGGAACTGAACTCTTAAATTTAAATTAATGAAAAATAAAATTCAGTAGCCACCTGTGGCTAAGTGTGAAAGCCAGAGGACATCCTCAGTGGCTACAAAGAAGCGCTCACCTCCTGCAGCCTGAGGGCAGAGAAAGGAATGATTCAGGAGAAAAAGATTCTGACTGGTAACTACTCAGTTCCCCCGCCGCAGTGCAGGGGCAGCCAGACGCCACGTGAATGGATGTGCATGGCTGTGTTCCAGTAAACTTCACTTACAAACCGGAGGCGGCAGACCATACTCGCCTAGCAGGCCACAGCTTGTTGGCCTCTGTATAATGTAATTAAAAATCCACCAGCACTGCCACCCAGGGCGCATAAAGTAAAACCGCTCACCTGGCCAAGCGGCTCCTGCAGACACACCTGTAAATACTCTGGTGGTAAAGCGGGAATATTCAGCGAGGCCTGTGAAAGTGGGGGACCCGAACGGGTAAGTGAGGACTCAAAGTCTGCAGCCAAAGCGCTCGATTCTTTGTTCACTGCACTTTGTTCCAAAACTTCAGAATCTTTTTTTCTTGAATTATCTAATCTCAGAAGTTCAACTTGCGATTCAATGTGTAATAATTCCGGTGCCACAGGGTCCGTCCTCGGGGAGGCATCAGACGCCGCTGTGAGGGTTCCACTCATCTCCTCTTTTCCTCCAACTGACATGAAATGCTTGGTGAGGGCAGCCCAGAGTCCGTCAATCCATGGCTCAACCACAAGTTCTAAACTGGATCATTGTAACAAAAATGGAAAAAAGAAATGCCTAAGTTCTCCATTCAAATATACAATGATGGGATAATGGCAGAATCTGTCCATCTGGCAGAACACTACCAAACTGTCAAAAACACTAAATATGAAGGCTACTCAAAATACAAAAAATACCTATGAAGGATTAAGCTAAGAAGCAGAATATTATTGGGTTCATTAGCAGTGAGCTGTAAAGAATATGAACATGTATAAAAGTCAGAGAACAAAAATGAAGATAATTCAGTAATAGGTAACAGGAGTGTGATTTCTCTTAATTTCCTAAAATAGAGGTGGTATTTTAAGAAGTTGTTTGTTTTAGACAGGCATGCATAGTTCTGATGAGGCTAGCAGAACTTACCCCAAATCCAAGGCCACCCTAATATCACAAACAATAATTACATCAAATTACCATCTCTTTTTCCTGGCCTAGCCAATTTACTGATCTTTGCTTTCTATAGATTAAAGTATCACCAAGAAATCACTCCAGATTAATGCTCTTTGAGTAAGTAAACAGTTCAAATCTTCTATCAGTTCTGAAGAATTTTTCTGGTAAAATTTCCAGCAGGGCTGACCACAGAGGGAAAAGCAATAATCCTTTAGGAGAGCTCAATTAATCATAAATACATTTTAAATATGGTAGTCTCACTACTAGCAAAGAACACCGACTGAACAACATTCTCCACACTGCCTGAACAGAGACGCTGGACTCGGGGGAAGGGCCACGGCAGGCTGCACCAGGACATCGGGAATAACATCCTTGCTGTTTTCGATCACAATTCAAATGAATTAACCATTAAATTCCAATTCATAAAGCTAAATGACCATTAAGAGGAGACACATTTTAGACCTCCATCTTACTGTGACTTTGTCTGTAATTTCACTGTGTTAACTTGGTGATCACACAGTATGCAGCTTAAAATGTGGTTATACAGACATCTGTCCCTCAGGAGCCTTTGGAAAAGTATGTACAATTAGCAGTTCAATAATGACAGCCTCCTTTAAAACACCTTTCTGAGAACTCAGAAATACTAAGATGATACCGGCCATAATCAGAGGGCTCGCGTTCGCCGAGTGCTCACTACACGGCAGGCGCTGTTCTAAAACAACTCGTATTATTTCCCGTGATCCTCCAAAGAACCTCACACAATATATACTATTATTAACTACTTCACAAGGGAGAGTCCAAGGCACAAAACGTAAGTCATCTGACCAAGGTTTCAGTCAGTAGGTGGGGAAAATCAAGGATGTGAACCCAGGTATTTGGACTCCAGTCCATATTCTCAATCCCTTCAACGTGATGGCACAAAATGCCTCCCTGAAAATATTTTAATTTTAGAAAAGGGAGGTTAGGGTGAAAATTTAAGAGATGCAATCTGCTGAAATGCACATTCAAGAATTTTAACACCCAATCCAGTAAATTTTTGGTTTCGGGAAACGAAAAGCCTTTGAAGTAAAATACAGACCGAGTAACAGGACTGATGGATTTTATAAGGTTTAGTAATTAAATAGCTCATACAGGACAGTAAACATTTAATGCCAATAAGGTGGGGGAGGGGGACCCAATATAAAGGGACAAAAGTAAAAGATAACACGCCAAGAAATGTGGTAGAGCTCTGTCCATGTGGAACGTGATCCCTGGGGATGTGGAAACCCCACAGCATCAAAGCTGCAGAGAATGCTGGAAGCAGCGGACTCAAAGGGGAAACAGAAGGGTCTTCAACACCCTTGTGCGAGGTGTTATACGCAGAAAAGCATGACACTTGCTGAAACTATCATGATGTACAAACACAGCTCTAGTAAGTAAGAATTTACTTAACATCCGCAACTGGTAGAAAAAAAAATCAAGTGTGTGTGCACGTGTGCGCACACAGTTATCTGGCTAAAACAGTTCAAGGATAAATACCAGGATAAACTATACGACAAGCTTTCTAAAGTCTCTGAATTAACACATAAGAGGACTTAAAAGGCGGCACATAGGGTGAAATACTGATTTGTAAAAAGAGTAAATTAATAAAAGAGAAATTATATTGCTGGTTGGAATGGCAGCAAATGACCTTTAAGATGGTGACGGAGAGAACCAAGGAACCGGTGTGCCCAGAAGGCTCCACCTGAAACGCGTGGCTTGTTGGGCAGGTGTCCTCCCACGAGGTCCCGAGGTCCAGTCCAGTCACCCGCTGTGTGCATGGCAGAGAGAAAGTGCACATGCAATCCGAGTTCCTGCAAATACCTACACAGCTGTAAGACAAAGTAACGGTACTGGGGCACCTTTCCTGATTTCCTCCACTAGCAGTACTGAGGAGGATGAGGCACTTAAGAAAAAAAAGTCAACAAAATAGATAGATCAAACTCTGGAGGATCTTTTTTGGTCCTGGAACTAAAAAAGCAAACAAAACCAAAACTTTCAAGACCACAGTTTTAGTGCGAAATTAGAAGTGAACCCCTTTCATAACCTCGCTGACTTTCATCACATACTAGCCAGGCTGACCGGAAATGACAGAGAAGCGCGTTGCTCTTACCCTACACAGTCATCCGCGTGGCCAGTGTCATAGAAACGCTGGGCACCAAGCTCTTGAAGTCGTTTATCAATTATTTTCCCCCCATTACAGAAGTACGTGTATTCTGAGTCACCCAGACCTAAAGAGCCCAAATAGGTTATTGGTACACAGTAAGGTTTAAATGTAAATATATTCAGAAGACACAAAGCATTTAAAACAATACCATTCCAGGCCCTTGTTGATGGAACAAGAAATAATGTATAACTTCACATTTTCTTATTTTTCCCTTGAGAAATACTAAGTATGCAAATAGAAACAAAACACTTCGGACCACTGTTAACAGAAATGTGTTTCACATTTTTGCTTCCATGCATCTGTGCAAAAATATGGCAATCTGAAAACAAGGATTACACAGGATTAAAAACATTCAATATGTGTATCTGCAGACTTTTCCTAACTACTGTAGGGTCTGCAAACTAGAGCCCGTGGGCCAACGACCACCCACTGCCATTAGAGTTTCGTTAGAACACAGCCAGGTCCATTTGTTTACATCTTGTTATGGCAGCTTTCAAGCTACATCGGCAGAGATGAGTGGCTGTTACAGAGACCACAAGGCCTGCTAAGCCTAACATATTGACTATCTTGTCCTTTACAGAGTTCACTGACTCACAGTCTGGGACGTGGAGAGGTACATCTGAGACATGCTCACCTGCTCTGTTTCTATGCTGATACATTAGGAATTGCTTCTATGTTTCCTGGTAAGAAAATGGACTAACATTTTTATACTTAGTTGAAATTTTAAAATTAAAAGCTTTAATTTTTAGTTGTTTAATCATCTCCATATATTTTCCCTACAAGAAGGTGGGCCCATATTTGGGCCTAATATTGACTAAAAAAGCTAGACAGGTTCTGGTCTTTTTAAATAATCTTTTGAGGAATGTTTGAAGCAATATGTACATGTTCACTCTTGAAAATAAAGAAATTGGAAAAAATCGAATTAAAGAGATGTAAACACTCTAAAATGCTCTTTTGAATACACTGTATATGATAGATCTTGGCCAGGGTCACAGTCTCACATTTCTAGTCAGTTATTTATCATAGCACAATCTATCCCTGCTAGACACCCTACCAAAAATGGTTCTCAAAGGAGGATACAGGTCACATGCCAGGCAAACGGACCCTTAACTCCCCCTCCGGTTTCCTGTCTGGCAAGCCGGTCCTCCTGATCCTGCAGTATTTTAGCTCTACTTCACAGAGCCCTCACCAGTGCTTCTTAAGCTGGGGTACATATCAGAATCACTGGGAGCTCTAAAAAATACCGATACCAGGATCCAACCTCAGGACAGGTACGTCAGAATCACTGGAGGGGCTCAAAGTAACGGAACTGGAAGGAAAACACCCCCAGCTGATCCCAGTGTGTGGCCAGAACGACCATCCTAGAGAATGAGAGCCACCTGGGAGCTTAAAAAAACCCACAATAAAATAGCTTGCAGGGCTGCTCCTTCAGGGACTGCTCGGGGTTGGACCCAGCCACCAACACTGGGGAAATATTTCAAGGTTGAATCTGAGGTGCGCCCATGGTTAAGAATGCCACTTAGAGGCTCTACGGAGGAGCTGCTGTGGGGTGAAGACTGGGGAAACAGCACATTGTTTACACTCAAATGTTATACATACATAAAATACTTATATAAAACCCACATAGTTATACACCATGGTTTTGAAAGATACATTTAGACCCTAGAGTTAAAGCCAGCAATAGCAGTACAGTAAGTGCCCAAAATACGGCACACACCTAGAAGTCCGTACCGCAGGTGAGCAAAGAAGTCGGCGGGCAGCGACCGGTCCTGTATGGCTTTAACAAACTTGCGGGCTGTGTCGGGTGGGTCTCCGTTGCCCGTGGTGGACACCACCACCACGAGAGGCGCTGTTTCAGTTTTCAGATCATACTATGAAACAAGGGTGTCACGTCAGAGATCTACTGCTGTATGTATTTTTGACGTGTATCAGCTGGGCAGTCAGCTTAATTTACCATCTTTCAGTCTGTACTGCATAAAGTACAGAGAGCACTTTTAAACTTTAGTCACTCCTCAGACAGCAGGAAACCTGGCTATCAGGAAGGGCCCTACTCCCTCAGAGTTCCAGGGAGCTGAGAATATCACCAGTGGTAATAAACTGAGATCATCAGTGTTTCCAAGTCTTACAAATCAAGTTTTTAATCTCTCATTCTCACCTAAATTTACACACTTCAGATGAAGCACTTCACTGTCTCTATTTATAACGACTCCCCAAGCTCAGCTCCTCACGAGTATCATTTAACTTGCCTCCAAGGAATTCACTTTATTTTTCACACTGACATAACAGGTAAAGACTTGAGCTAACATTTTACCAGGCAATTCAACACTTTCAGGACACTACACAGTTTGTCACAGTGAGTTTACCTTGAAAAAACTACCATGATCTAGGGAGAGAGCTGTCTGCCACCAATGGCAAAGTCTTTATTTTGGGGACGTACAAGCGGGCACTGGGATTCCCAAGGTGGAAAGGAAACTCGCGTTCCTCTGAACACACTTACCTCATTTGTTCCCAGCCAGCTCATGAGATAAACAAGGCTAAACTAATACTTCCATGTATAGTCCAGAACAGTTACTTGTCTTAGTTTTTAGGACTGTAGTCTAATTCAAAAAACAACTTACAGGTTTAAAAAAAAAAAAGCTGGCAGGAATCTTACAATGCAGCTGATAGTGATGGTGGCACTTAGCATCCTACTCTGTGGTTTAACACCGGCTCCCAACCGAAATACTTCTAAGTACAAGACACAGGAGGAACCACGTGAGTAACAGCTCTTACCTTATCCGACTCACTAAAACAGTGGAGATCTGCAGAAAAGCCATGTGTAACTGCTTTTTCACATATTTCTTCCGCTATGGCCTTTGCCTGTCCTTGCTGTGTTGCATAGAGCAACAAAAACCTCCTCATCACCTCTAAAGCATATGCTACAGCTTAACGGTTACACTGAAAAACAGAAAAGGGAATTTCTTTCTCACAAAGTAGTAACAACCCGCAGGTACTAATTCTCTTAATTAAAAAAGACTGCAGCAACAGCCACACAATATGAGACTTCTCTAAATGTGCTTGTTGATGGAGATAATGACAATACGTACCTGACAGAGACAGTGCTTGAGACTCAATACATCGCAGACATCTTCTTTTAAAAAACGTAAAACTGAAAATTCATTAAAATTGTGGGGAAAAAAAAGTGGTTCCTCCTTGAACCCAAAGCTAAACAGACTAATCAGAGTAATCAATGCTCATACACTGCTTTCTTATTTAATTCAATATCCTCTACATGTGACTGCATGTATATATACACATATGTATATACAGAGAAAAAAATATCTCCAATTCACTCAAGCCTTCTCCCCATACTTATCCAGGGTCTAAACCTGAAAAGGCTGCCAGTTTGCAGGGAGAAACTTAAACTGAAACCCAAACCAAAATCTTGCCTCTTTGTGAATGAACCACCAATATTTGTATGTGCCTCTAGCCAATTAGATCTAAACACAACTTAAACCACGAAGAAATTAAAGGGTAATAGAATAGCGCTAAGCAACATGCTAAAAATCATGGACTATCCCAGGGAACAGAGCGACACCTGGCATACAGCGGGTGCTCAATGGGTTTACTGAACGAACAGATAAATAACAGCAAGACACTACACACCTGGAAAGTGTGAAACCCTAGTGATGGAAACGGCATCGCTTATTATTACAGCTGCGACCTGGGAGCCAAGCCCAGCTCGAGGTGCTTCAGACCATGACCCCCTCGGTCCCACAACCACCTTATAAAGCAGGTACTTCACCCCATGTTCCCAGAGGAGGTTCCGAGGCGCCCGCAGGACGCGGTCAGGCGGAGAAACGGCGGGAGCAGGACCTGCGTCTGGCTTGGTCCGCGCTCCCAACGTTCCTGACTCTCCGGCGCCCGCACCTGACCCCGCGCCCAGAAGTGCCCTTTCCCCCAGCCTAGAAAAGGGTTCGGAACCAGGAGGCCGACGGAGGAGGAGCCCACAGAGACCTGCGGGACCGGCTCCGCTCTAGCAAACGCCGCGGCGCAGCCGGGGACCCGCTCCGGGAGGCGGCGGGAAGGCCTCAGGGCCGAGTTCCCGCCGGGCC